CACACAATCATAATACTAATATTTGGCAACGCTTTAGGCTTTGGAATGAGAAAGGAAAAAAAATGAAAAGTGAGACTGAGCAAAAGTTAGAACAAGATCATGTAATGTAAATTAATATATTATGAATCTTGCTACTCTTTTTTTAAGTAGATAATAAGCTTAATCCAATAATCAATATTATATTATGAATGATGGAAGCTTTTTTCAAATGGAAAAATAATCCATACCTTTTATTCTCTTTAATATACAAACAAATATATCACAATGCAAATATCAATGACATATATGATTCATGTACACAATAAAAGTATTAGAGAGATTTTTTTTTTTGGTGGCCTAAGGTGGTGGTCTCACTTAACTTATGGTCTATGTGGCTTTAATTCGATCGGGTTTATTTGAAAATTTTTCTAATTTTATATATTTAATATAATTTTATTCAATTAAATTAAGATAAGTGAATTTTGATATAATAACAATATTAATAATAAGAATTTGTTATAAAATGAGTAATTTATAAAAATCTTCAATTAAAAACAAGCATCCTAAAAATAAAAAGCTAAATATAAATTTTTTTCTGAAGGCAAAATTATCCAACAAGACTAGACAGTGATAGCTAACAAACTCACATCACAAAATACATCCGGCGGCCGGCGGCCACACAACGTATGGCAGTTAAAGACTGAAACTTCACGAATACGGATGGAGCAAATATCATGTCAGCATCAGTAATAAATAAAATATTTGTATTTATGAATGGTAATGCAAGTTAGAAATGAAGTAACATCTTTATAAAATGTTTCTTTCGTTTTTAACATGACATGCACGTTATAATAAAACAAGGGGAAAAACTTATAATTTTGTCCAAGTGAGGGACATCGGTGACTACCTCATCTAGGTTTCTCCATTATTGCTTTATCCACTTAGCTTCTTACGTCCACTATCATTTTTAAAAAAAATTAAAAGTCATTTCTTGCTCTCGAACTTTTTGTGTAGAGTTTTTGAGTATTAAAACTCAAATTTTGAGTCATTTTTATTTTAAATTGTTAAAATTTGACTCCTTTATCATTTATATTAGAGTTGATAATTCAGGCCATCCTTATTTAGATCAAGCTCAATTCGAGTATGTTTATTTTGAGTTTAAAGTATCCTACCCTATCTAAAAAGCTCATATAGTCAAGTCTGACAAGAACACCTTCAGGCTTATTCGGGTTGGCCCGAATGCCTGAAAACTTTAAAAATACTTTTTTATTTTTAAACCAATGTAAATTTTTAAATAATTCTGCTAAGTACAACATATTATTTTGACTTTAAAAGAATAAAAAAAAGTAATAACCTATCAACTTTATACTTAAGCAACTTTGTTACTGTTTTGTTGTATTATGTGTAATTTATTTATAAATATTTCATTTACTTGTAAATTTATGTTTTAATTGTTTAAATATTTCTTTTATCATGGTTATATATAAATATTTTATATATTTTAATTAAATTAAATTATTTTAATTATGATCAAATTGATCTCAATTTAATTAAGATTAAACTGCTAACTTAAAATTATTTCTCCAATTAGTATAAATTTTTTAATAAATTTTGAGTAAACTGTACTTTTAATTTTAAAAATATGAAAAAAATAGTCATCACCATATTATATAAAACAAAATCATTTAATTATGAGTAAAATACTATTTTTTTAAAATTTTTTCTTTAACTTTTTATATTATTTAACTTCTGCATACAAGAAATATTTACTTTAATTTATTTTAATTTTTAACCAAGTCTAGCATGAACAATAACTACATAATTATCCAAAAATATTATTTTATTTATTATGTTTATCTAATAATAGAGCCAAAAATTTATATATGCCCAAGTTTTATTTTTAAAATTATTTTTAATTTATTTTTTATTTAAAATTAATTATCTTATTTTATAAAAAATACAAAATATATTTTTTTATACTCAACTGATGTATAGGACTAAAAAAATTTTTAAAAAGTAATTAGGTCTTAAAATATAAAAATCCATATTAAAATATATTTTAAATATTATTTTAAAATTTTTTATTAATTAAAAATAATGAAAATATGAAAATATAAATTTTTTAAATTTTTTAAAAAAATATCTATAGTAATACACTCACATATATGGTATTTTAATATAAAATTATATAAAAATTAAAGAATTATTTAATATTTATTATATTTTATATATTTTTTTAAAAATATTATTTTTTTTTGGGTACTCGGGTTAAGCAAGTACCCAATCGGGCTTGGTTAGAATTTATTTTGGGCCTATTTGGGTAGCCTGACCATTAAAAAAATTATTTCTCTCGACTCAACCCTAAATATTTTAGGTGGGTTCAAATTGGCTCGTCAAGCTTAACTTAAATTACTAGTTTAATTCACGTGCTTCTTGTTGACTGTTATTTGCTTAGGTGTTGGTTAGGTTTTTTAAAATTTAAGGGAGAAATAACCCAAAAATCAAGTTTAGGATACCATATATCTACAAGCAAATATTTTAAGCAATCAAAGTTCAGAGGCAACAACGATCTTTACTCTACTTAAAAGAATATTGTCATATGATGTAGTTGGAAGTTCAGCACTTTAACTGCTAGCAATGTTTTACATTTATTACCCAAAAAAAAACTGCAAGAGCTTCTTTCAATCCCTTGTGAAAAAAAGTGTGATTCATAAAGCAAACATTAACATATACCATGTACTTATCATGGAACTCCATGAATTTTCTGATAATTATAATTGTTCTTGAACACCAAAGCATTATTTTCTTGGCAAGGAAGTTACATTCTTTTAATCAAGAGTCTTGAGTTCGAATTTTAAAAATGCAACTATATTAAATACTTGATGGAAGAGCTTGCCACCACAAAGGATCATTCAAGTTAAGTCAGGCAAACCTAGGATATTAGGTGCAATATGTCACAAAAAAAAAAAACCCCACTACCCCTTCATGTATAATTATGTATGTGTTATTGTATTTGAGTGTGGGGGTGGGTGACCTTCCCACCATTTCTTTTTTTTTTAGAAAAAAAAACATACTCTTCCCTCCCATCACTTACATACATAATTATACTTTCTCATTTATACAGTACTCTTTATATTTAAAAATATAAAATATATTTTAAAAAATTAGACATTTAAAAATATAAAGTATTTTTAATTTTACAATGTGTAATTAATGATTTCTTTAAAAAATATTTTTAATAAATTGACCACTCAACTTTTCACCTTTAAGTAAGAAACTTAAGGGCAAACATGGAAAGATGATATTAATTTAAGGACAATTAACTAACTTATTAGGGAGTATAATTCAGTTAAAACTAATTTATGTTTTTAAATGGAAGGAGTATTATTAGTAGAAAAGTGAAATTTAATATTTCTGTCATGTATATTAGCTTTCTTATTAGATTGATTATTGATTCTTTATATACTCCTCTGTTTAAAAATATAAGGTATTTTTTGAGAAGTTAGATGTTAAAAAATGTAAGGCATTTTTAATCTTTTGAGATGTTACCTTTTTTTCAAAAATATTCCGATTGATAATGACTTTATTTTATTATAGAGTGTTTAATAGAAGTAAATATAAAAATATAAGGTTAGTTTAAAAGTAAGTAATTACTTTATTGATGGATGAGATTTGGTTAAAAATGCTTTATATTATGAACGGAGGGGGTATTAGTTTTATAATATTGTAAGAGTATTTTAATAAAATTTTTATTCCTAAATTAAAAAATTTTAAAAAATAAATTGCGAACACATATAATAACCTCCATTTAAATTTGGCCCCGATAAATTGCGAACACATGAACTTACTCCTTTTCTTAACTCATCTTAGTATTTATGGATGAAGGCTTTCACACTCTCAAATAATGTGAGATCTCTTTTAGTACACCCAAAACTACAGCAACTAATGTACAATATAATACTCTTATAATTCATATTGTAAACATGACAACTTAAATTATAAAAAAAACTTTTTGAAAAAACATATCCTGTTCATCTCATGGGGAATAAATCTAGTTAACTTTCAATCATATGCAATTAACTTTTGATCTTTTAATTTTTGACAAACCTCCTAAACTTCTATAATGTTTAAGTAGAAAGCCTCTATTAAGTCATAATCATTTTCACTGTTTTATTAGTAGGACATGATACTTAATTGATCATAACCCTCTAATTTTAATGTCATCCATGGATAAAATTTCCTTTATTCCCCTATTATAAGGCATATTTTGAAAAAAAAAACTTTTGTCCTTAATGTAAATCACTTAATGCAATATTAATTATGTTTTTTCAATATTATGTCTATTTTAATTTATTAATTATGAGAAAAATGTAATGCAAATTTTGAAAAATTTTCATTTAAATAGAGGCAAAATTAAAAATTTATTTTATTTTTAGATAAAGTTAATAATTTAATTACCTATCATTGGTTTCAATAAAATAGTTAGAGATATTTTATAATATGGATCAAAGGGAATATGCAATAACCTAAATTTAAAGACTTTCAAATAATTTAGCCTAACAATCAACGAGCACTTAATTAATCGGTAAAGGAGGTTATGCCAATTTAATGAAATGTGTTGTGGCAGAGCTTCCAACCCACATTTAGTTGGACCTTTGGCTTGGGGCGCTAGATGATTATTTTAAGAAAATTAATTTAGCCTAACCATTTTTTTCTTAATAGCTCAAAAACCGTTTTTTTTTTGGGGGCCCGACAATAGTTCAAAATCAGATTCTGTTGGTAAAAAGTTCAAAATCAGTTGACATCGCTGAAAATGAATGATTCTTTAAAAAAAAAAAAATTCATGAGTTTATGGGTATGTTTGAGAAAAAAGGTTCGGCCCATGATTAACACTATGCATAAATATTATAATAATAGAAACTCAGATATTTAATTAGGATTAATTAAATTAAATTTTCTCACGAGAATTTGAATTGTCAATTTTTCTTAGCCTGCAATCTACTTGTACGTTTGGAACCAAGTAAACCGGATTGCTGGGGTCAACGTGGCCTTCCCAAGCATTGCTTCGTGCAGCTGCAAGTCTGCAACAGAACATGTTTGCTTAGTTTTGCTCGCAAGCCGAATCTTTTGTTGATTTCTGACTATCTGATCCCCTCAATCACTTCGTCAATATGTTGTGATTCTATTCTCAACAGTCAACAGGTGAACAAGCTACCCATTTCCTAATTAATTTTCTTTTCCTCTCTTATTGTTCTTAATCCAACTCTCCAAACCCCATAATTTTCTTTCTCCACCATCGCTTCTTCTTCTTCTTCTTCTTCTTTTGTTTTTTGTTTTTTGTTTTTTTGCTTCCATTCCCTTTTCTTGGGTTCGCAGTTTTGTTAACTATTATCAGAAGACTTGGCAACAAATGTCGTCCTGGCTGAGATCTGTAGTGAGTTATGCTGACTCCGTCGTTCAACACGCCGGCCAAGCTGTTGCCGAGGGCGCCAAAATCCTGGAAGATAGCATTGTAATGTCCTATATTTTATCTCTGTGGTCTTTTCTATTATTTTCATTAATTCTTAGAATTTTTACAATAAACTCAGTAAATTATAATCCCCATTTTAGTTTTACTTTCTAGAATTAGCAAATGTGAAGTTATTCATAAGTACAACGACTTCGTTGTTGTGTTAGTTATTTGGTGATTTTGGGAAGCCAAATTGACGAAGGTGTTAGTTTTGACTTTTGAGGACTAGCTCACGCATGAGAGTAAAGTTTAGTAATTTATTGGTCTCAAATTAGGCATTTTTCTTTGTTTGATTTTCAATTAGAAATGCGTTTTGTTGCCCGCATTTTGGGTAGTATTGGCTTATTGGGTACCCTTATTAATTCTTAAAATGTTAAATGATTAATCGGGTTGTTTTTAACGGTTCGTTTTCCTCTTCATTTGGTTGATTGACTGGTTACTCACTGTGCAACTTCAAGCTCAGAACATAAAAGAAGGATAATTTGCAGGTTTGCCAACTAGCCATTTAAACGTTTGTTGAGATGTTTACAAGTTTGGCAGCTTGCTTTGCAAAGGAAATTTTGACTGTGCAAGTGACCGTTATCTGGCTAGTTTGTTCAGGAACATCCTATTTTTCTTAACTCACCAGCGCAGAGGGGATAGTCTTTGCTAATTTCCAGTTCTCCCAAAAGAACCCACTTTCTAATTTGCTCTTATTGTGATATTAATTTTAAAATTCAGGAAAAGAATGAAATATAGTGTGAAGAAGGATGTTTGTGCGCTGTGAACTCTCACACACATTGTGGTAGAGCCACTTTCCTTTTTTTATTTATAATAATATGTAGCCGTGCATTAACTTTAAGATAACAGCAGACTCTAGGACACCAGATAATGATAAGCTCCTAATCCTTCAGAGAATAATAAATCCCTAATCCTTTTAAAAGTTCGACTTGGATAGGTTGCTCAACATTTGTTTTCTAACCTCTGTTATGGTTTCCCAGCATTTATGTCTGTCATAATTTTATAAGGAGTTTAGAAGTTATTTGGATTGCATATTAAATACTTAAATTGTCTGAAGATTCCATAAAACTTGGATTATCTATTTGTAAACTTTTAATTGTAGTGCTGTGTCCACAACGGTAGTTAATGTTTTTTTGACATCAAGATGATTTGAGCATGAGGATCATATTAGATGCTTTGGTTTTATTTCATCTCTATATCTTCTGTTTACATGCAGGCTGGTCAAAATTTTAAAAGTGTCAAGAAGACAGTTGAGAGATTGGAAGAAGCTGCTATTTACTATCAGGGCCCTGAAAGAGTACAGTTGCTAAGAAGATGGTTAGCTTTGCTTAAAGAGATTGAGGAAATGTCTATGACTTTGGCTGAAGATAAAGAGAAGACCCTTGAGCGGCACTTTGCAGTTGACAAAGCCAAGGAGAATTTGAGGAAACCATCTATGGTAAATAAATTTTTATGTTCAAGGCAGATTTAGTTTAATCTGATTGAATTTTGATTATTGCACTCTCCCCAGTTTGCCTGAGTTTTGGAATATTAATGATCAGGTAGTGTCTGAAAGCACAGTATGCTAAAGTGTTTAATTTGGGACATGAAATCTAGCCTAGAAGTCTTTTTATGTGACTGTTTATTTCCCCTAAATCCTGATACTGCTGTTCGTCACGGAAAAGCTTCATGTGTTTGTGTTACACTGTAATGGAATTCATTGGCTGTTTGCTTCTTTCTTTTCCATTCAATAGGAATAGGTTTTATCTTTTCTTCAGTATCATGGGGGAGTGGCTTTATTCTTTTGCTATGAATTACATGAATCTTGGCTTCTTTCATTTTTCACCCACACATGGACTGATTTAATTTTAGATAGAATTAATCCATGATCTTATGAAGGCTGTTGGATGTAGCACTTGCACCCTGGAAGAAACTTCTGTGTTAAAATATTAATGTAACTGATGACTAGCTGAGCACGTGAAATTCAGATATGTGAATCATTGATGTGGGACCAGAGAGAAAAGGGCCAGAGAGAATGGAAAGAGGAGAAAAAGAGACAAAATATGAATAAGACAACTGGTAGTCTTACTTAATGTGGAAAATAGTCTGTCAAGTCTAAAGCAAAGGCCTTTAAACAGATCTCGACAAATGATTGCTTGAGAAAAAAAATCAGCAGATAAAATGAGGTAACTTCATAGCTCAGGACATAGTAAAAGTCTAGAACTATGTTGCTAAGACTCGGCTGGAAGGAGTTTTCCCTATGTTCAACATACACTCCTTTTTGAAGGTACTGCAGGGCGAATAAAACTCAACTAAATGGTACTTTTCTTGGTTGTATCAGAGTTTCAATTGAATACTCTCTTCTATGTCATTAAATTAGAAAATACTTTTGGCTCTCATGTTGGTGAAGGATCAATGTGGATAATGATTTCTTGTAATTTATATGGATGGTTTTTATTATTTATTTATTTTTTGTATAAGCTTTTTGTAATTGTTCAAGTGATGCTATTGATCAGGTTTTGTATTATGATGCTGATGTTGGAGGTGAACCATTAAATTTCCGAGATATTTTTGTTCAAAGTCAGGCTTTGGAGGGTGTTACATTATCAATGGTATGCATATTTACGTGACTGTCAGCTGCATGTGTAAAATTGTGCTGACATGTAAAGTTATGTAAAATTGTTGATTATCACAGTATATGTTCTTATGTCCCTGAAAAAGGGGAGACTACACATTTTGGTACTTTCCTGATCATTGAAGTTTCTCTCTCCCATATATATTAAATTAGTAAAGTGCTGCTATCCAGCTTCTTTTGTAGGATCTGTTCATGGACATGGTTTCATGCACTTACTCATTAATGTTAGGGCCATTGCACCTACCTAATGATCTGAGCTTCTTTATCCTACTGAAATGACCCACTGTTAGGAAGGTTAATCTGGAGGCCAGACACTGACTTGCATATAGCAACTTAGAAATCACTCTCTCTCTCTCTCTCTCAATAAAAAGAAATAACTTCTTCAAATTTTTCTTATCCTCAAGAAGTAAAATATTGTATCATCCATGAGTTGCAAGAGAGAAACCTGGAAGCCTTCTGCCCAAGCAAGAAACCTCATGCAGTCCCTCTTTTCCCCTAGGAAATATGCAAAACAAAACCCAACAACAAGGTCGAACATGAACAGAGAACAAGCTAGAAAGTGGTCCAGCTTTCTGGTACTCTTCAAATTAGTCATCTTGTTTTTTTGTCTGCTAAAAGCCAGTCAATGTAAAATTGTTCTGTACTTCTGTTAATTAAGAAAGTTTGAATGAACTTGAAATTGAGGTGTTGATTTTTATACATTGTAAATTCAATGGATCGATTTAATCTTATTGAAATAAACTTAATATATCAAAGTCGGAATCCACAATGGTTTTTTGTAATCACTTTAGTACTATATGAGAGTTTATTGATTTCTTATACATATTGCAGCGATGAACAATTTGATTGAGTTGAATATATCATATTCTTACAGTCTTACTCCAGATTCATCAATATGGTGTCATAAAATTGGAAGAAGGATGTATTCCTGTGCAAGTCATTTTGTAATTGCTGATTATGGAGGTTAACTGCAGGGTTAACTCTTTTCTATGCCTCAGATTCTTAAAGTTCCTAATGAGGAAGAGGTTTCTGTTCTCCTAGAGATCTTTAGGTGAGTTTCATAGCTTTTCCATTTCTCTTGAATGTCTAGTAATCTGAGGCTTATCACATGTTCTGATAAAATATTCGGCTTATCTTATTCCCTTTTTCTCATAGTTTATTCTTTTATTAAAAAAAGGTGTACTAGCTCCTTGATCTTGAAACCTTGGGGCATGTTTGTGTTACAATATCAATTTTTATTTTTGAACACAATTTTTTTGATCAGCTAGTTTCATCTTCATCTTTGTTGAAATCTATATGTTTTGTGAGGAAGCATGCTATATAATCCCAGTTGCTAATATTCGTTATTGAATATTCAATACAATTATCTGTAGGCTTTGTCTTGCTGGGGGAAAAGATGCTCATAATGCCATAGTTAGAAGCATTCAAAATCTAGCAACAACATTTTCAAACTATCAAGATGAAGTATTGGTAAGGATGAATGACTCTATTCATATGTTGACATAAGGACAGCGTAAAGGTTCCCATGGTTTATTTTGAATCGGTGGGATCTTTGGAGGTAGTTTGCATTCAAATTTAGAATTTCAACTATGCAAAAATTCTTTAAGTTCTGGACTGGCATTTTCCTTACTAGGTTTTGAGTTTTGATTTTAGAAAGATATTAAATATGTAACTTTGTATACTCAAACTTTCCACCACAAGGACTACTAAAAAAAAAAAAAATTTTATGCTCTTGCTTCTCAAATAATTTGAAAAAATATGGAGTTCCAAGATATATTTTTATTGCAGCATTGGAACATTATTGAATGATAGTCTTAATTGATAAGAGGAAAATTAAATGGGTTTAATGATGGAGTTGGCCTCCCGAGCATGAAATTAGGGTTAATTTGTGAAATTTCTCTTGTATATTTTGTCCATTGTTATGGTTTTTAATGGATGGTAATTATCCTGAAGGGGGGAATGTTTATGAAAATATATGACAAAAGAGGGGAATGGCCAAAATGGATAAAGATAGTGATGAGCTGGAGGTAGGGGCGGAAGAGAGAATATATCCCCTAGTAACTAACTTGTCTCATAGTGTGTTTGGGGTCAGGGTTCAATGTCGTAGAGAAAGAAGTGATCATTTGTTCTGGTGGAGAGTTTCTAGTCTTTTGTATACTAGAAGAATTCGTTTTCTTGCTTGTTTATTTGCATTTTCTTCTATTTACTCTGAGCATTGAAATCTGCTACTATCTCATGTCATTTCCCTCTGTGGAGTAAATATATTTTAGGTCTGTCTGATAAATAATAATGAGTTTTCTTTGTTTCTTTTATCGGTTCCACCCATTTTCCTATCATATATATATATATATATATTTTTTTTTTTTCCCCCTTTTGGTAGTGGCACTTACAGGTATGTTTGGATGAGGGATTGGGGTAGGGGAGGTTTCATTAAAACCCCTTCCCTTGTTTGGGAGTTATTTGTGAGGGCAGGAAGATAATGAAGTATTTTCAGCTAACCTTTTCAATTCCTCCACAGTCCTCCCTACTCTATGTTTTTAAGCTACCCCAATTTGGGGATTTTAGACAAGCAAGTGTTTCAACTAGGGGAAAGGAAATTATTATCTAAACAGCACCTTCCTTTCCATTTTCTTAGAGTTACTTCCCCTCCTGTCTCCTTAAAATTCCCTTACACACGTTACTACTTATATAACATTAGAAAGAACTTTATCCATGTTGACCAGTCAGAAGGTTTTAATTATGTTCTGCTTCTGTAGTTGTAATGTATTTTACCGATTAAAAGCTATTGGGTTTGTTACCATGGAAAATGTACTTCTACTACAGATGAAGCGGGAGGAATTGCTTCAGTTTGCACAAGGTGCCATTACTGGGTTGAAAATCAATGCTGATATTGCAAGGTCAGTATGAATCGATTAGTTTTGTTGTTACTTTCTTTATACCTTTTCTTTGGTAAATGCACATTTTATGTTTGATCTGAGACTTAAATTGCAGAGTTTATTTATTGTGGTTGATGTAGTCTGAAAATAGGTTTACCTAATCTTAATAGGCTTTTAGCCTTTTCTTACATTAATTAGTAGAGTTTTCTATAGCTAAACAAATATAAGGTTCCTCTAGGAAATGTCAGGAGACTTGAAAGACATGTAGCTCTGAATTTATTTGGATGGAACGCAGTGATCCCCTCCATTCCTTGATGCTCCACTGCCAACACCTTTTGTGTTATCTTTGATTATATGTAAAATATGCTTAAGCTGGTGCGATAATTTTATTAACCGAAATTCAAAAAAGTTAAAATAAATGTTATAAGTGTCTTGGAAATAATTTTTTTCCCTTTGATCCCTAATTCCTTGTTATAAATGACAATTGAAGACCAAACATCATGGACTTGATGATTTTAGGGAGAATGACAGTCGAAGACCCTCTAAGGAAATTAATACAAAATAAAGACCTCTGCGTTGTAAATCCTGATGTTTCAGTTGTAAAAGGACCTTGATATTTTTCAAGGGTTCTTATTTGTCATTCTCCCATGACTTTATTCCTTTTCCATTTTTAACATTCCAAGAAATCACAGAGGATTCTAGTCTCTTGAGCTTGATATGCGCTAATGAGTTTGTCAATCTGCTCTTTTGTTTTTTTCTCCCAACTTAGAAATAGCTACCTTCTAACGACAACTTAATATGTGTGAGGCCAGGATTGTGTCTGGAGAGACTGGTAGATTAAACTTTCATATTGCCTTTAATGCTAGTATATTTTTACAGTTTGTATAAGAAAGAATCAATCGTATCGATGATTAAGATTTGGAAATCCCTAGAACTATTTCTAAAACCGAAAGAAAATTGGTGTGAAAGATAAAAGGGTATGATCAAGAAAGGAACAATAGAGTATTAAGAAAGTTAGGAACAAATTTAGACATTTAAATGAACTTAATGGAGAATAGGAAGATAATATTTGGCTAAATGAAAACTAACCCTAGGCATAGGAAATTCTAGATAATTGGAATCTTTGGAAATATTTTCTGTTTTATTTATTTTCTTATTTTTGTTTTATTTTCTTGTTTTGGGCTCCCTATAAATAGCCCCCCTCACTAGTTGCATGTCAATTTTTTGAACCATTTGAACGATATTTCTAGTTTATTCCCTCTTGCTTTCCTCCTTCCTATTTTCCTCCCAATATCTCCCTCTTTCCCTTTCCTCCTCCACTTTTTGTAACCTGGTTCTACATCAGAATATGATGTGTATATCCCAGTTGCACTGTAAATATGTTGAAGCATCTTAAATGAATACTATCTACTTGCTCTCAACTCATGCCTGAGTGCTTGGGTATATAAACCAACATGGGTTTAATGCGCATGTCAGATATCTTTGTTATTGATGATGACATATGAATTATGATGGGAATGTAGTTGGACTGATAGTTTAAGACAGTGAGAAATCAATATTTTAGAAGGCTGAGGGTTGTCATATCACTTGTCAAGAATTTGAGCCTGTAACTTAGATGGATCTAAAATTTGGGGCTTACTTATTCTGTAGTGGGTTGTGGTTGATTTGGGAGGAAAACGTGGCTTATGAAAATCAAGATAAGGACTTGAAAATTCAGATGGAGACTTATCAATTATTCATATCATTAGAAGGAAATATACAGTAACATTAAATCTAAATTTTGAGAGAAGTATTGTTGAAGTCCAATCTTGTTTTATTTCATGACTACAGAATAGATGCTGAATCCTCTAAACTTAGGAGAAAGCTTATCCAGATGGAAACTTCACAGCTACCTTCAAATGAAGGGCACAAGGCAGCTGAAGAAACGATAAAGGTGTGTGCTCTGATGGCTGGTGACGGTGGTGGAGGTTTTTTTAATAAATAAGGGGCACTTTGGTAATTGACTAATAAAACTTAATTACAATTCAATCGCTTGGGTCCTTTCATGCAATTATGTCTTTTTGGGGGGTCCTTGAATGATATTCTCCCTTTATTCTTACCACATGATAGCATAAAACTTTTGATCCTTGACTACCTTTTTGCTTGATATGTATCTCTTATAATGTAAAGTATAAACCATCATGAACGCATAAAGATCTATCACGAACTATATATGGAACTTTGTGGGAGAGTTTTGAAAAGAAACAGGCACATACAAGATCAGCCTGACGCAAAAATAACGGTTCTCACGGGACTGGTGCACTTTCTTTTGTACCATATATCATATACTATGTTCTCAAATTTATCAATAACCATGGGACCATTTTGTAGGCATCAAAAGTTGCCCTTTCTCAGATTCGAATTTGTTCCAGACTTGAAGAACTATTGCAGAAGAAAAAAGTATTTCACGTTGGAGAATCTCCAGAGATTTATTCCCAAAAGGTGTAATTCTTTCTTTCAAAAGGATTGGAACAATGAAATTATGGGTTGTTTGTTATATTGCCTTTTTGAAAAAGCTAAGAAAAATATGAAGGAATAAAAGTAGTGAGAAAGTAAAGAGAAAATTAATGCATGGTTTTGCAGACTTTTAATATTATGCAGCCTACTTTAAAATAAGATGTAATTTTACTATTTTTTATTTGTTTTAACTTGTGATTATGCTGCATTAAACGAGATGAAAATTAATTCCTACCTTCTTATTTCCTCTCTCTCTCCCCCTCTTTCGCGCATCATATTCATTTCTTTTTAATTGTATTCCCAACATAGCTTCATTTGTTATGATTCTGGCCTAGCCTTGTAATCATGGCCTAATGTTGGTACCTTGCTTGTCTTTGATACAACTTCCTTAGTTTTATTGTTTAATTTTCAGTTCAGTTTTTTTCCATCAAGATTTATTTTCTGAGGGTAGGTCTTCTTACCACGGGTACGAGAGAGCTGACTTGTACGAGGCTGTATATATGTGTACTTTTGAATGGCTCTCTTATTTTTTATTCTTCTAGAATATAATTTTTTAGATGTTTGAATGTCCTATGTCATGATATGGACTGATCTTTTTTGTTGTGACCGGCAGATGAAAATGGAATGCTTTTTTGCGATAATGAAATGACAATAATTATTTTGGTTTTATGTGACAAGATGTAGGCTGATTTTGTATTAGAAGCTGTAGATTTAAGTGGAAATATGCCTTAATAGTTAAAAATCAACTACTGGCACAAACTATATGTTATTCTGTTGCTGCTTATGTCATGTCCAACTTTTTGCATGCTAATTAATGGGGGAAATTTTAGGAATAAAGAGTTTAATAAAGATATTAGTCAAAGATGGAAGAATATGAGAAATGATGATTAGAAGATTGGAATTAATCATTGGACAAAGATATTCATAAGAAATTGAATAATAAATAAATATTTTTGGGGCATAAAGAAAATGTAATATTTCCAAATGATCGTAAAATAATAATGGGGAATCAAAATAGATTCAAGAAAAGAAGAAAATTGGAATATGAAGGAAAGAAATATTTGGAAGAATTATGTTAATATTAATGATTAGAAAATATCCAAAAGAATTAATCATAAAACTTGCAATGTTAGGGACTTTTGGAAACATAATCATTTTCTTCCTGTTTCAAAAAAACACAAATAAACAAGCCCAATTTTGAGCCCAAAGATGAAAGGCTTTTTCTTTTCAGCAGAATGGATAAGATTGAATTGTTTGGGCTTACATTTTTGGTTAGTTGATTATTGGGCATTGGTGTGGATTAGGTTTTAGAATTAATGGAACACAAATGAAGATTTATTAATCAACATCCACTACATTTTCCTTATTCATTTCCGCAGTGACAGTGAGAGTGGAGAGAGAAGGCTTTGTTCCAGCTATGGTGGTGGAGAGTGTTTAGAGAGAGAGAAACCTAGCCAAATACCCTCCATTCTACCTTAAAACTCGCATGCAAATACATAATTTTGGTCTATTCAACCTAAGCTTCCATTTGATCTTAGCAGTTTCTCAAGATTCTAAGTTTAGAGGAAGAACTTAGAGAGAGAAAGCTTAAGAATTCAAAGTTTTGGGATGCTTGGAGTGAGGTAAGTATACATTATTAATTTTGGATGGATTATTGAGTTCTAGAAGATGAAATGTGGAATTGGAAGCACTGTCTAGATTTTTCAAAGTTTACGAGTGGGTATTATTGAGGTAGAAATAATTATTACAGGGTGCCAAGTTGTTACCCTCCCAAGATATAAAGAAGAAAACAAAATACCCACCCATAAACTTCGAAAAATCTGGACAGTGCTTTCAGTGCCATATTTCATCTTCTAGAACTCAATAATCCATCCAAAATTTATACATTTATACTTATCTCACCCCAAGCATCCGAAAGCTTTGAGTTCTTAGGCTTTCTCTCTCTAAGTTCTTTCTCTAAATTTGGAATTTTGAGAAATTGCTAAGATCAAATAGAAGCTTAGGTTGACTAGACCAAGATTATGTATTTGCATGTGAGTTTTAAGGTGGATTGGAGGGTATTTGGCTGGGTTTTTCTTTTTCTGTCTCTAAACTCTCTCCACTGCCATAGCTGGAACAAAACTCTCTCCAATGATTAATTCCAATCTTCGAATAATCATTTCTCATATTCTTCCATCTTTGACTAATATATTTATTTAACTCTTTATTCCTAAAATTCCCCATTAATTAGTATGTAAAAAGCTGGACATGACAGCTTAGATGGTAAAAACATTGGCATTCTATATATTGCTATGGAAATATTATGCTTGCTGTGGCTGGCTGGATATTAGGTTGGATATTAATTTGTTATTATAAAGTTTCAAGTTGATATATCTTTGAGGTTTATATATTTACAAATTTTTAGGTTTATATTTTTATGGAATGAATCATTTGCTATAATTGATTTGGATATTATTTCCTGATTAGGCTTCTTTAAGTTCTAAATTTCAAAATAAGTTAGGGAAAATGATAAAATGAAATTTAATACATGTGCAATGAAGTTTTTTTTTTTTTTTTTTAACAAGGGAAAACGTGTTCATACTATTGGATATTTGAGCATATTTGAACAATGGCATAACATGTTCAATTCAATCTAGCCCAAATCTTCAAGAAAAATGGTTTGATTCAAGTATGGTAGCCCAGACTCACCCAGAAGGTCAATCGTGGCTCAGTCGAGTCCTGGTTAAGTTTGGGTGAGATTGGGCTCTAGGCTAAATAACTGAAGCCCAGTCTTCATGGGATGGAGCATTGGGTTGACCATCAACCTAGTCCTGCCCAGTCTTTGTGCACCTCTATTTACAAGATTATATAAAAGAATTATTGAAGACAGAAAGATTAGCAATCATGTTATATGCATTTGAGAGCCATTATACTTCAGATATGAATGATTGCTTCCATGAGCTTTGTGACGTTGAAAATTTGGCACCATTTATTATCTGGACTCGATTCCAATTGTCACTGGTTAGAGTAGAATTAGCAGAACCTGAATTCTTTTTATTCTGAACAGATTCTATTGTTGAAGAATTAATTAGTGAACATGGTTTAATTTTTTTTTTAAATTCTATTTATACCCATACTGTCATTTTTACGAATAGGTTGACAAGTTGAAGGTGCTGTTGGAATCTCTAGCCATATCTACTGCAAAAGCTGAAAAGCGTATTTCAGATAACAGGTAGAAAATCAAATTATGAAATTCTATTTTAAGTGCTCTATTTCATGTTATTTATCTGTTCTCCGTGAAATCATGTTTATGCTTAAGGTGGAAACTGTATTTTGTTGTGAGTGAGAGAGAGAGAGAGAGAGAGAGAGAGAGAGAAACTGTATTTCGTGAAAGCATCTCATTTTGCTTTAAAATTTTGTTAAATGTCTTTTCAGTTCTTGATGAGAAACTCAATTTTTTTTTTTCCAGTTCTTGATGAGTAACAATTTTATTCTAAGCTTGAACTGGATGAGAGAAGTTTAATACTTTCATGCAGGAGAAGTTTAATAAGAAACTGTATTTCGTGAAAGCATCTCATTTTGCTTTAAAATTCAGGTTAAATGTCTTTCAGTTCTTGATGAGAAACTCATTTTTTTTTCCCCAGTTCTTGATGAGCAACACAATTTTATTCTAAGCTTGAACTGAATAAGAGAAGTTTAATACTTTCGTGCAAGCATCCTATGGTTACTCTGAGTGCTTTGCATTTTATCTGTTGAAGACTGCACGAGATAAATATCAATTAAGCATTTAGTTTCTCATTGGTTCTTAATTTCCTTCAGATATGTCTGGTTCTTACTAATTTCTTGGCCGTTTATAATTTGATAGACTACAAAAAGAGGAGGCATTAAAAGTTCGTGAGTCCAAAGCCATCGAAGCTAATGGAAAAGAAAAGGTGAAGTACTATTATCATTTCCAGGCACATGTTTGCAAAAAGTGCTTGGGTATCTATGGAACCTGGTGTTGTGTATGGCAATCTTGAAATGCAGCATAAATTATATATAAAATAAAAAATAACCAGTAAAATAGCAAGTAAGTACATGAAAATATTTTTTTTATTGATAGAAAAATAATGAATGAAAAAAACTTAATGCCATAGCTTATGAGAAAATCCAACCCAAATTTAAATGTTATGAGCATAAATTACAATATAATTGCTCCTTTTTTTATTTTTTTTTCAGACATCAATTTTTTTTTCTCCGTTAAGTATTTGATGATGTAATAAATGAAACAGCTAAATAAAAAATTATGTATAGCAGCCAATGGGAGTTGGGTCTAATGGAAGAGACTAGTTCCTCACAATATGGTGGATAGATTCAAAACCCCTTTGGGAGAGGTTCCCACTTCCAGTGCCCGGCTGTACCTCGAATAAGTTTGCCTTCAATAGGAGATCATTTGTGTGCAAATAAAAAAGAATATGTATAGCAAAAAACAGAAGAAATGTGTGAGGAAAAGTAGATAAATGGCCAAGAAATAATTAAAAATAGAAACGAAAGAAATGAAAAAAAAAAATAGAAGGAAGGAAAGAAACTAGAAAAAGTGAAATGAAAAATAGAAATAATTTAGAGCAGGAAAATGAGAGAACAAATAAAGCAAGATATGAGAAGAAACGGAGCAGAAAAAAGAAGACAAACGAAAAAGCAAAGTCAAAACAGAGAGAGGGAGAAACGTAACAGAAAAAGAGAGGAGAGAGAAATAGAGTCAGAAAGAGGGAGCAACGGAAAACCTGATGAAAGTAGGAAGACTGCAAACTTGGTCCTTCCCTTCAAACTTGATTCATTTATTAAGATCCCAATTTTTTTTGTTGGGAGATGGACAAGTTATATTTGTGGTAGAAAGGGTCCTTTAGTGTAAGCATGCAATGTTTACTTGGTGTTTCATTTGTCGTACTGTGATGGGACCTCTCAACCTACTATTACTACCAAAACATATATAAAGAGAAGGGAGTAACAGGGCAAAAAGGGGAATTGTCGTGCCTAAGGTTTTGAGCCAAAGAATATAGAATGTGCAAGGGCAAAAGGGAGATTTCAGGATGTTGAAGTGACTGTGGTAGTTGAGATGATGCTGTGAAACAGCATTTGAAGGAAGGGAAAGAGGGAAGAAAAGGGATGAGGGATTTTCTGGAAAGACACCTGGGAGAGCTAGCCTCTTGAAAGCTATAATTGTCTCGTGCATCCTGTTCTTGTTTCTGCTTATGTGTGTCCATTTTGGATGTTGTTATTTTTTTTGTGCATGTATAACCATGGTGCTGCTCGTATGTGCAAGTGTTCTGTTGCTACTTTCTTGTGTCTTATGAAGTGTCTATGTTCATATACTCCATATCAGAAGTATTCTGAGTTCCCTGTGTTGCCTCTAGTAGAATAGGGTCTGAATTTGCAGTATCACTATTTGTCTGAAGCTGTAATTCCATTTTAAACTTTAATAACAGTGTTATTATGTACTGCCTGTATTGTTCAGTGTATTTTACTCTAATTTGTTTCAGGAAATAGCTGCTGAGATCTTAGAGCTCCAACGGAGAAAAGATGATCTTGAAGCTGAATTGAAAAAGGTATCAGTCATGTTTCTGTGCTTTTTAGTTTCTTTTTTCTTTTTTCTTTTTCTAGTTTAGTTTTTTCCCCCTTTTTTTTGGGGGGGGGGGTGGGGCACATTGCGGACCACATCTTCAGACTGATGCAATTGCGGAACCCACCAAAAAAGGTTGAGTCTCCATCATTGAAGATCTTGGCTTAAGTTTTGTATTATAGACAGAGATATAAGCATGACATGTATCATTCTTATAATATTGATTGCTAACCTTATCTGCGTCTTCTTTGCTATAATCATTTATCTGTTTATAACAATGGTGCTTCCCTGATGAGGACCTTGCTTATAAATATTGGAACTTTACTAATGAAAGATTTTCACGTTATTGGCGCACACATACGTTTTCTGATCATGACATTTTAGAGGAAGCGTTGAAATTTTCAGTTGAGCTCTTTGGCTTCACTTCTCACCTAATAGTTTATATTTTTGCATTTCAATGGATTATGCTCATTTACTCCTAGTAACTTAGATTCAAAACTGTTTGCTTTCACGGCTGACTTCAACCATAACATGGGCATATGAGAAGCATGGGCTGAAGTTTGCGTTGGGGGATTATTCTCTTATCTTTATCACTTAAATTCATGTGATCTTCGTCTTCTCTAAAGGATTGTTTATTTGTTGACTTCTCATTTGTATGGGCCTTGTATGACGTTTCTTCTAGCAACCTAAAATGATGTTTCTTATTTGAGAAAACCTTTCATGGCCTATGTTTAAACTTGTTAGGATTTAATACTGTTTTATAGTTTTTTCTAAATTAAATAGTTGAAGTATGGCCTTTGCGTAGGTTAATACTTCTTTGGCTGCTGCTCAAGCGCGATTATTGGATGCAAGAGAGGAGAAGGACCAATTTGAAGAAGCAAACAGTCAAATAATTGAACATTTGAAAACAAAGGCATAAATCTTTTCTTTGTCTATATGTGGTTGGATACTATGTGTAATCATGCTCAGTTTTGTCTTAATGCAGTGTTTCTCTCACCATCAAGATGTTGGAAATGTTGATTCTAACTTTTATTGACAGGAAGATGAACTTTCAAAATCAATTACCTCATGTAAGTTAGAAGCAAATGTTCTGAAAATCTGGATTAGATTTCTTGAAGATAGTTGGGATTTCCAGCGATCAAATGCAGAAATTAATGAGAAGCAGGTCAAGTAAGTATTTAGACTTAATGCACCTGAGAATGACATGATATCTTTCAACAGAAACTTAAAAGCATAATAAGTCTGCCTTTTTTTGATTCCGATTATTGACAAAGTGATACTTCCTCTAATTCTTAATATTTAAAGTGGTGAACTGGAGAGGCACAGGGACTATTTCGTAAACTTGGCCATTCAACTTCTTACTGCTTACAAGGTATTGATTTTCTTTTACTCAATCAAAGGCAGAAAAAGGATGTAATATGCCAATTATTTTTACCCTTCTCAGTCTCTCACTCTTTTGTAATTGACTCTTCTCTGTCATGCACAGAAAGAATTGGAGCCTTGGGTCACCCGTATTGGGACTTTTGTGGAGAACCTGAAAAATTTAAGTCACGGGTAAGGTCCTTTTTGTCTTGAATCTACTGTATGCTTGCGCATGCCATATTTTGGCTAATCTTTCTGAATTATCTTTTTGAAGTACTTTGAAACTTGAATAAATTTGTTCGTGTCTTTGTGTATATTTATCCGTTTCTTAAATTTCTTTCACCTGAGGAAGCAGGTCAGAGATGCCATCCCATGCAGTTAATGAGGATTCTAATCTATTAAGTCCAAGGAAAAGTCTTGAGCAGGAATATTTGGCTTATGAAACTAAGGTACGTATGTTACCAATGTGGTATTTTTGTTGAGGAGAGATTCAGACCTCTTGAAAGAAAGCCAGAGGGCGTGCTTCTTTTCTACCCGTCTTGTTTTTTCTTCTACCTCTGATCATCAGAGCTTGTAAATTCCTCTTGCTATCTCTGTTGAAGGGAACCACATCCCTGTAAATGCATAAGTAATATAAGGTTTACTTGAGGTTCTATCAATTTGGTATCAAAGCTTGACAGACTTCCACAGAAAGGTATACCTGCTGAGGGTTTAACTTGGTGGCTAGAATGAGAATTATAAAGTGGAGTGTAATCAGGGATATTGACTCTCTAGGAGTAGTGCTATGCTGAATTCCTCCATTTTGTAGCTATAATGTCTTGTGGCACTTAAGGGGCACATGATTCTGCCCTTAATATATGGTTTTAAGGGTGGATTTCCATATAACCTATGTTTAAACTCTGCCTATATTTCATAACTGGTTCTAAACGTCGGCAAAGGAGGAGAGTTGTTTTAGGTACTTGACAGCCATCATGAAACCCCTTCAAATCCCTTAAAAGCTGGACAACCTAATTTCCCAAATACTTGTGGAGCTTATTTGTAAGATGTGTGATTACTAGATATGTAGAGTTAAGATTTGTGTTTGATATAGTGTAATGCTATTTCTGAATTTTCTAGATATTGCACCCAAAAGTTTTATAATTAATTTCCTAAATATTTAGGAAATCATGTTGCCCAACAATAATACCACCTAAAAGTAATTGGCTTATTCATCCATGGCCTTCCTTATCAGTTGTCACAAGTTGGAATTAATATGAGGGATTGGATAGTTGTTGTTAGCTAGTAATTGATGCTTGGTTGTTAAGAAATAAGTTGTGCGAAGGTCAAGTCTGTCATTGAAACTGACTTTCTCTTATTCAAGGCTGGTATAAGTAGTTCAGATGAAAAGTTATGGGCTGTTGATGAATCTTAATGAATTTCTTTTCAATTCCCTTCTGCCAATAGTCTTTGTACTATCAGTTCTCTACTATATATAAAAAAAGTGTACGTTTGTTCTGTTTTTCCTCAATGATGTTTTTTCTCCATCAATTCTTTGCAGCTGACTGCACCCTATGTTCCTCAAACATCGCTCATAGAGTTAGGCATAAAAGTTTTGGAAACCACAATCATTAGTCCTTATAGTTTAATTGGGTTTTGCTTTTAGTCCTTATAGTTTTTTTCACAATATTTTAATCCCTATAGTTGCAGCAAAATTAGTGATATTTGTTACTCAAGTCCCTATAGTTTTAGTGTTTTTAGTCTCATGAGGACTGAAAATACTAGGGGAAAAAAAAAACTACAGGAATAAAAAGTAAAATCCGATAAAACTATAGAGACCACCCAAATTTTTTTTGCGAGTTCATTCTTGTCTATTTGAAATGGCCTCCTATCTGATCAATGTATAAGTTCGATTATCTATGAAGGGAAAGAAATAGCCCATTTATATACCTATATTTAATGAGGGTTTTCTCTCTTGCTTTCAGATTATAACCACCTTCAGTGTAGTGGATAGCATGAAACGGTATTTTGATGCTCAGCAGGGAAAAAGTTCCAGGTTTTGTATTGCATTTGCCAACTTTTTGAATGAGTTTTTGAGTTCAAAATAAGACTGATGATGAGTTTTTATTTGGTTGCTAAACTACATAATTTGATTATAATTTAAAAGTTTATAACTGGTTTCACTCAATTTTCAATTTGGTTTCTGTAAGTTTTTACAAAGCTTTAGTCCCAATTTACAAGTTTATAAATTCGTTTCACTCAAATTTCAATTTGGTTTCTGTAAGTTTATAATTGGGACTATAGCTTGGTAAACATATTTGGAATTTTAATTAAGTTAAGTTGATAAAGTTTAATCAATGGGCTGTTAAATTATTATGAAGTGGCCAAGGATGTGCCATCGCAGCATCTTTCAATATGTATCAACCATGCCAACTCTCTCGTACTGGGCTATATGTGAAATACTTAACTGGATTTCACTTCATCTTTTATTTTTATCATTTTCGTTGGCATTAACCTTGCACGTTTGGAATGTCTAAGATAGACACGTTCAATTAAATTAACAGAATCTGATAACTCGCTTAAAACTGTGAGCATCCAATTAAAAACTTTAAAGCTTTGACGACCAAATTGAAAATTGGGTGCAACTCTTGAGATGAACAACATAATTTATCAATTGAATTTTTTGCTCTGTTATACAGGAATGATGAAGAACATGTTAGAGAGCTTTTTGATGCTATCAAAAAGTTAAGGTCACAATTTGATTCTATTGAGAGGCCCTATTTAGAAATCGAGAGCCTAGGTGGCAAGGCCGAAATGTCGCCTCAAAGGAAACAGCAGGACAGGACATTAGCTACAGCTCAAGTTACTGAGCTTCCAAACACACAGAAAGATGAAGAGCCAAAATCAACTGCAGCCAAGGATGATCAGGATCAGAACCATGAAGCTGAATTGACAAAGCTGGAATCTGAGTCTGGAAAGCTTGATCAAGATTTCTCAACAGAGGAAATTGGTGGGTGGGATTTTGATGAGCTTGAAAAAGAATTGGAGCATGCTAATTCAGCTTCCAGAAGTTAGGTCTATGATCTATCTATTCCAAATTCATGCTTGCTGCGGATTCATGAAGCACTGGTGCTTCAAGATCAGAGTTATAGTATGTCTGTCTGATACATGACTTCAACTTTTATAATTGTGTTTTAACATTACATGTTTTGTGGTTTCACCATCTTGGTACTGTGTCATGTTCTGTATATCCTTAGTTGCTAATTTAGTAATGTAACGAGGTCATGGATGATACAAGATGAAAATGTAAAGCTGTAGCTAAACCATCAATGGAGCTGCTGGATCAAATTGTTACGGCATTTGTAAATAGTGTAAGTAGGATACTCACAAAATAGTCACATCTTATGCCTCTTCGCTCCTCTATTTACGCCTGAAGCTGAATGTTTAGATAACTATACAGGGCCCTAAAATTTGATCCTCATAAAATAGTTCGTTCAAACTATATTTTTTTTATGTATTTTTTAATTTCATATAGTGTGTATATTCCATTTTCATCTTAAAAAAAAAATTAAACATTTCCCTTTGATATAGAGGACTGATTATTCTAGTTTTATAGAAGGAGAATCATATCTAAGAATCTAATAAAAAACTTATTTGTAAATAATGATCAATATAAAATAAATTATTATTAAAATAAAAATATAAACTTGTTTTTACTTAAACGTGACTTGTTACTAGTTTTTATTTGCAAATAAGTTAGGTCATTGGATGTGATTTTTTTTTTATAATATAGGATGATAAAACAAATTAATCATCATCATCATCCATACTTCAAATAATGTAGGAAAAATATATCTAGTTGCATAAACCAGCAAACCCAAATATTTGACTAAAAGAGGGAAAATGACACTTTGGAAACCTAATAGGGAAATTAATTACATTTAAATACGTTGACTTAAAAAAAACTGAATTCCAATTAGAAATAACAAAATTTTAGTTGGAAATCACAATAGTGACCCTAGTGTCATTTTCCCTAAAAATGGATGCATTAAAGTTTTAAACCCTATATTTTTTTTAGAGTACAAGGTTGCGGTAAACTTGTGCAAAAAATTGAAATCAAATAATGTCGAAAGCCATAAGACTCATACAATCACTAGATAGACTGTCAAATACACAAATATCAAAAGTATCGATAAAAGCCTTATAGGTCATGAGGTCATGCATTTGTTGACTTCTCTATAGACGTGATCAAAGGTTATCTTCCAATTACACATGATTAGATTTTTGATGTTACTAATAATGGTAAAGAGAGGATGATTATTAGGAGAACTCTAGCTAATGAGAGATAAGGCATTTATTGAATTAGAGTAGATGTTAACTTTAAGAATCTTAACATTCCAACAAAGGTTGAGACCTTCCAAAATTTTCATTAATTTTGTAGCAGTGCTAGGTTGATAGTTGAGATTTTTAGAAAAGCTTTTGATGCAATTGCCCATATCATCCCTAATAAGATCATCACAAGCTACAATTTCATTAAGGTTGACAAAGCCATCAACATCTAGTTTAAGTCTCATATTTGGTTCAACCAAAAGGAAGAGAGGGAGAAGGAAAGGATTTTTCATTTTAGTGATTGTTTTGTTTGGGGAACGTTGTAAAGAGAGTTCAATTTGACCCCATAAATGATATCATTCGTGAATCAGTTATGATGATGATGATTCTGATGAACTGAGTTTCTATTTATGATAATTAAAATTTATATTTTAGACTATGAACCCAAAGCCTTCCACTCGTCTATTCTGCAGCAATCATTCCCAAACTTTATCATGTTACCTACTATACAAACATACATTATGATACACGCAAACATACACTCTCATTTTAAATTTAGACGTAATATATTTTTTAGTTTCTAAACTTTCTCTTAATTATTAATTTAATTCTTGAACTTTAACGTAACTAAGTTTTTGTAGTTTACAAAGTTAAGGAATTATAAAAAAATTGGGATTAAGTTTTACCGCACAAGTAAAAAAAAAAAAAACTATAGCTATGGATTATTTTAAGTCAAGAAAATATAGAAATTAAATTGTTCCGAGTCAAAATTTAAAAAATTAAATTAATAATTGAGAATAAGTTCAAAAACCAAAAGTTATATTTTTTTCTTTTTGAATTAATCATCGTCAAATTCATTTGGGATAGTTTGAGTCAAAACTTGTCAAGTCAACGATGATACTTTTTATTTTCTATGAAATTGAATTGAACCTTTTTTGGGACCAATATGTTAAATAAATGGATTATTAATTAATAGAAAGAACAAAACAGAAAATGTGGGGTCTTTAAATCATGTCAATAGCCATATATATTAAGAAAGTTTACACACACACACACACACAAAAACACACTTAGCTTACTCAAAAGATTAGGAATTGTGTGTGTTCTTTGAAGAGCATTATGATTATGCAGGGCCTGAAATGCCTCAAGTAGAAGACACAAAGATGGAATATGCCTTAACCATTATAATATACATAATTTGGAGCCATAGGCATTAAGCAAAATCTCCTTTATAAGTGGTATTTTATTTATATATATTTGGATGCCTTATCTTTTATAAATGAAAGAATAATTTATCCTAAAATAAAGGCAAGCGTGCGTGTCATAAGTTATTAAGTTAAGCTTGGCTATTCGAAATTCGAATGGAGCTTTTTGAAGAAAAAGAGGAAATTAAATAATGTCTCTTATAAGTTTGACATCGACATTTTAATTTATATTTAAAATTAAAAAATTAATTGCAACTTTCAAAGGTAATTTGCACACAGTCCAACACCAATAATATACCATACTTAATTAACCTAATAATCATTACTTGATGTAAACCAACTCTCAGGTAACACGGAACACTGTCCTAAGACACCACGAAATCAACTTTTAACTTGTATGTCTGCTTTTAACACATCCATGATACCTAACTTCTCCCAAAAGGAAATAAAAATCTCGAATGAAACAAAGCTTATAATCAACTGAGGAGGGGGAGGGGAAGAATATAGAGTTATATATTCCTCTGATCCTATTTATAAGTCACTTTCAACATATTTTATTAATTTTAAGAAAAATTTTAAAATTTATTAACTTTGTCTTGAGTTTTTAACTTTATCCTTATTAAATATACACACTTCAATAATATATTTTCCTTTTTCAATATTCAATGAAGGGTAAAAAAGAGAATTTATGATGAAAATTTAATGATGTGGCTTATAAATAGAACTAATTTTTTTTTTCTCACTTTGTCCTATAAATAGGACAAGAGAGAGTATATATATATATATATATGTATGTATGTATGTATGTATGTATGTATGTATGTCCTGCCAATTTGTGTTTGGGAGAATCGCATTTAAAGATTACTCAAGCAAATTATTTGCAAGCAAGGATCAATATAGAATGAATCATTTTGTTAAAATGAGAATGTGTACTTGTTTTTTTTTTTTTTTTAAGAATAGAACTTGTTGTTAGTCTTTATTTGCAATTGATTTGCTTGAGTGGTCCTTAAATGTTATTCTCCTATTCTTTTTTTTTTTGTTAAAATGATAATTTGACCATTAAACTATAAGCCTAGAAGCATTTGGGGTTCTAATTTTTTAGGTACATTTTCACTCTTAAAACATTTAAAGTTATGGCAATTTCTTCCTTGCAAATGATCGACATAAATGATGAAAGATAATTTGTTGTGAATTGATTTTGCCAAACATTTAGTTTATCCCCATACTATTAAAGTAACAAATGTTTTCTCAATTTTAATGCCAAGGGGAGATTGTCATAACTTTAAATGTTTAAGAGTGAAAATGCTCTGAAAACAAGTTTAGGATTGCAGACATTCTTAAACTTATAGTTTAAAAGTCAAATTATCATTTAACTCATTTTTTGATTACATGTTACATCATAAGATTTCAACTATTTACTATTAAAGTATTGAAAATCAAACCAGATATTGAATTGAATAATATAATGATTCAATGGTTAGCAATCTAATTGTAATTAGAAAAGTCATTATTAAAACAATATAATTTAATTAAAAGATATAAAAATATTCATATATACATGTTTCAATAAAATAATGCATCAATAGTCAAGTAAATAGAATATTCATCCTTAAATCATACAAAGTCTTAATGTCTAATACAATATCAGTTTAAACAATTACTTCAATTTTTACTGAGTTTGCTTAGAATATCCATATTTAATGACTAAAGTAACTTATATCTGCATTCTATATCTTACGACAAATTCATCAGACACTTAATGCAGATTCTCAGCACAAACTAAAACAAAATGTTAACTCAAGAGCAATCTCTCAATTATTGTTGTTGCCCTTTTATGTCATTTTACCATTTTTTTAAATAGCCCAAATGACATTGTTTGGGTGTTTAGGAGGAAAAAAAACATAAGCTTCAGCATGTTAGACATGTTGTACAGAATCAAAATTGAGTTGATGACCAGATTAATTCAATTCACTCAAATCTTAGTTCAAACAAAGTTCTAGACTGGTTAAGGGACTAACTCGCCAGTCCAATCAGCTATATATTTTCATTAATCAAGTTTTCAATACAATACTGCCCCACATGCTTCTAAACCACTGGCTAGCCCCAAATGAATTATCTTTACCATTTTCTTCATTGCTTTCCTCAATTGACCATGTATTAATAGTGAAAGATCCAAGTTATTATAATTCATAGATATACAATCACAATTAACAATAAACTAGTATATGGAACACACACACAGACACACACACACACGCACACACACACACACACACAGACTTTTTACACACCAGTTAAATTAAATTGACATTTTATATCAGTTCCAGAACTGGTATAAAAACAAGCAAATTAATTAGTCGCATGACTCATTAATGGCTGCCTTGTTAGGCTTTTATCTTACATATATATAGATTTAAAATAATTATATACATATATAGGACAACTTTAGATTGAAAAGAAAAGTGTAAGTGGGTGAAAATGAAAAAGAAAGAATATATGCAAAGGTAAAAAGGTGTAGGTTAAAGAGAAGGACAAGAAATTAACAAAGTCTCTCGAGCATTGCATGCATAATTCCGGCGTCTCCCACCATTGCTTGTCGGGTCGTCATAACTCAATCTTTGTTCTTTGTTTCCCATTATTCATTTCTTAAATCAAACACACCAAAACAACGTTAGATATCAACTCCATGTTTTCATCCCTTTTACTCAAATTAAAAGCCTCATCAAACTCAACCAGCCAGGAATGAGGAATCCAGTACAAAAGTTTCACACAATGTAAAGCATCAAATAATAACGTTTGAATTCTCTCTCTCTCTCTCACTCTCTCTCTCTCTCTCTCTCTCTCACACACATCTAATTAATTAACTGTTATTTCTTCATCACACAAATAACTTAATATGGTGCATTATTCAACTTTTGCTTAAAGTGCATGCTTTTGCTTTATGAATAACTGATAATCACTTAGAAAGTGCCATTGGTTTGCGGCGTCCAAATAATTGCTACAGTAGTACATCATCTATGGTTATCATCTGTGTGAAAAATAATAAGAACAAAGCAGGGAAAAATTCATGCTTATAAGATATTGTAAATTATGAGGTGCTGAGCGAGCTGTATGACTTAGTGACTTTGAAAAATGAAAAACATATAAGATTTTGCTGTATTGTTAGCCATCTGCTGATCTGCACGCACGCACATATCAAACTGAACCATCATGTTCTAATTTTTCTAAGTTCTAGTTCACATTAAGTTGATCGAAGATTATCACCGTGTGTTTATTTGCCTTTCTAGTTAGTGCGTTCTGATATTGAACTTTAGATGATTGACAATTATATATAATGCTCCATCTCTGACCACTGATTGAATTATATATATATATATATATATATGTTCGCATGTATGTATATATTAGAATTCAGAAATACTTGAGGTGTAGCTGCCACAAAGCACTGACAATAAAAAAATATAGCAACACGTACGACAATAATGAACGAAGGCACAAAATTTAGTTGGGCGGGTCCCCCTTGCCCCCAACACATGACAGACAAAAAGGAACTAGTTTAGAAAAACAACATTAATAATAGTAATTCCAGGTTACAACTTTTTCATTTGTCACTACCTTTAAATTTCCTCTTTTTTCCATGATAAAAGCTCACCTAGCTAGCTCCTCTCTCTCTATCACATTCCCTTAAACCCTAGCAGTTGCTTTTGGTGTACTGTCACAGTTTAGTTTTCTGGTGTTATGGCTGCAAAAATTCTGGTTGCTGGTGAAGATTTCATTGACATTGAAGTTAGTTCATATCCGAACGCTTTCTTCTGTCACTCACAAACCAGCAGAGAGTTTGAGTTTCAGATGTCTTCTTCCATTAATAATGTTGAAGACAACAGATCATTATCAGAAGCCATAACTTCTCCTGCTGATGAGCTTTTTTACAAAGGCAAGCTTCTTCCTCTTCATCTACCTCCCAGATTACAGATGGTTCAGAAGCTTCTTCAAAACTGTCCTCTTCCTGATCATTTTGATCATCATCACAAAAACCCGACCTTTGAGTTTGATCATAATGAAGATGATGATGATCATCAGCTCTTCAGCACTCCTTTAGCCAGCACCACTAAACCCTCACCAACCACAACCACATACAACACGCCATTTGAGTCTTGTCAAGTCAGCAGAGAACTAAACCCAGAAGAATACATCTTCGAGTTTGATGATGATGATCATCACCATGAAAAGAAGAAGATCATCAACAACAATAACAAGAAGTCATGGACCAAGAAGTTCATGAACAAGTCTTCAAATTTAGGGTCCACAATAAAGGCTTCGAGGGCTTACCTTAGATCTCTCTTTGGGAAATCTGGAGGCTGTTCTTGTGAACCCTGTTATGCAGTTTCAACCAAAGTTGCAGATGAAAGCTCAGCTTCAAAGGGATTGACCAAGAACACCATAAAATCAGTGAAGAGAGTCCCATTTGGACAGATTTATCAGAAAACAAATAACAAAGGAAAGAGAACGAGTAGTACTACTGAGGATGGAACTGGAAGTAATAATAATCGACACAGGAGATCATTCTCAGTTGGGTTGAAGTTGATTCAATCTGGAAACAAGTCTTCCTCTTCTCCATCGTTTTTAGTTCCGAGCAAATCAAATGGTGGAATAGTTCATCATCATCAAAACCTGATGAAGAGGTGCTGTAGTACGAATTCTGAGAGAGAGAATTCGATTCAAGGAGCTATTGCTCACTGTAAGAAGTCTCATCAGAGTAGTACTGTGACTGTGAGTGATAATATTATTAATGGAGGAACAACAGGTTTATGCTTGTTTTCTTCTTCTTCTTCTTCAATCTCTGTCTGCGATGATTAACAAAGACGTGTTGAGATTTGTAGGGGCTGATCATCATCTCAAACTTTTTGATTTGGTTCCTTGTAATTCCTCTAGCTTAATTTAAGAATGTTCAGTTTGGTCTCTTTCTAATCAAAATTTTATTCTCACTGACCCTACATGTGGCGTTTTGATATCTCAAATATAAATATATAAACGAACGTGTGGTTTGGGGGGGGGGGGGGTGGGGGAAGGAGTGGGGGGAGAGAGAGCGAGAGTCTTAGAGTATGAGTCTGCCTTTGAGTCTACGTGAATGTAGAAATATTTTTGAGAAACTACTTTCAATTTCAATTGAGTATGACAATGTTTGAACCTGGTCTAGTCAAATAACTAGATTAAAAAAAGAAGATTAAAAAAAGAAGAGGTTGATAGATGTAAAATGGTTTGTTTTTATTTTTTATTTTGCCAAAAAAAAATAGCCCATTTTATTAATCACAGAAAATAATACACACACCAATAGCTGAAGCTAAAAAACAAACCAAAAAACCTACATACAACCAACCATACAAAACTCACCAAAAAAAGAAAAAACGAAACAAAAACAATTATCCAATTCTAGCTCTATTTCAGTCATCACAAGAATAATCAAATGCAAAAATTCTAGCAATCCTTAAATCAACAATCAAAAGATTAAATAAAAAAGATGTAGCTTCTGAAAGCCATCCGACAGAACACATTCTCTTAGAACCCATCACTGCCAACAAGTTAGTGGTTTCATTGCCTTGGTGAGCCACCAATTAAAAAAAAAAATAAACATCCTTGCATAAATCTCGAGCAACTTGAATATCCTGCAACAAATTAATACAATGCCATTTATAATCACTTGAAATCTTATCCATAAGAATTTGAAAAACCACTTCACAATTTGTCTCTATGACAACTTCTTTATCAGCAAAGAATTAGCAATTTTTAATCCTTCTAAACCTGCTAAACATTCTATCATAAAAGGTGAAGAAGCAATCAAAATCTTCCTATAACCACTTAAGAAATCATCACAAGAATTTCTACAAACCAAACCAACACCAACTCTTTTATCAAAGTCAACATAAGACCCATCAACATTAATTTTGATTTCATTCTAAGCAGGAAATCTCCAAGTTGGAATTCTAGGTAACAAATTCTGATTACAAGATAGTCCAACAAGATTCAAAAATTTCTTCACACTTCCATACTCAACTACAATCCTTCTAGCATTCACAATAACCTTCATAGCATCCATTTTATCACCCTTAAACACCTAGCTACACCTACTCTTCCATTTCTCCTAATAAATAGTAGCTATTAATGCCTTACTTGAAGAATCAATCTACTGATGATCATCACATAGCATATCCACAAACCACTTAACAACATTTGAGCTATCAAAATTTGGCATAAAAAATCTCAAACTACACCCAAACTAGCAAGCTCTAACCTAAGGGCAAGTAAACAAAAGATGTTCAATTAATTCAATATTGTCAAAACAGATAGGGCAAAAGTAGAATTAGAACACTTCCTTTTAGTCAAAGCTTCCTTTGTAGCTAATGCTCCATTAAGAACCCTCCAAATAAAATGTTTAATTTTATGAGGAACCTCTAGTTTCCAAACACCATTCCAGAGACACCTAGAAGGAAGACAAGAACAATTCTTCTATTGTTTTACCCAAACCAAATCAGTATTTTTAGCCACAAAATAGCTAAATTTAACAGAATACAAACCATCCTTGCAAGGGACCCAAATCAACTTATACCTCCCCACCGCAATAGGTAATTTGATTTTCAGAATCTCTTCTTTTTCCTTTATAGAAATCAAATCACAAATAGAATTTAAATTCCAACAGCCATTAACAATTAGAGAAGAGACTTGAACCTTTTTCATCTCCTCACAAACACCTTCACCCTTCAAACACATACTTTTCAATCCCGAAATCCAAGCGTCTTGTCAAATACACACTGAATCCCCATCCTGAATTTTTCAATTATATTTTTCAGCAAATAACACCCTTCAAGAATACTACTCCACCCACAAGAAGGTCTTCTCCCCTTCTTAGCTTCAAACAAATTACAATTTGAAAAATAAAGACCTTTTAAAATTGGCACCAAAAATCATTAAAATTTTGAATCATCCTCCAAGCAGTCTTGGCAAGAAGTGCCTTATTAACAGCAAGAAAATTCCTAAAACCCAAACCTCCATCACCCTTAACAGTTGTCATTAAACTCCATTTTCTCCATTGAATCTTCCCACCACCATCATCCCCATGACCCCACCAAAAATCTGATATTAAACTATCCAACTCTTTACAAGTTTTAACTAGAAAGGCAAAACAATTCATTGGATAAATAGGGACAACATTTGCCACAGCCTTAATCAACACTTCTCTATCAGAAAAAGTTAAAAGTTTTTGCTTCCATCCTTATATTTTCAGACCCACCTTATTTCTAACAAAAGCTAGAGAAGAAGGTTTAGATCTACCCTAAATAATAGGAAGACCTAAATATTGACCTGGCTAATCAACATTAGAAATTTGCTTATCCTTAGAAATTAGTTATTTGTTACAAAAGTTGTTTAGTTAGTTTGGGGATATGAAGCAAATGACATTTAATAGTGATAGGCTAATTAGTTACTCAACTCATAAAAAAAAAAGAATGATAGTTAGGTTTGAGAAGACTGAATTAATTAATAATAGTTAGGTCATAATAAATTTTGTTTTAAAAATAAGTAGTTGAAATATTGATTCACACAATTGCAAATTTAGAAAATTCAAATGTAGATAAGGTATTTAAATTTTAAATGTAACACTCAAAATGTAACTGAGATTCTTTAAAAAAATTTGTTGGAAACCAAATTGCCATTAATTTAATCTTTAGGACCTATCTGTCTTTCTAAAAAATATATGGAAGATTCATTTAACAAAACACCCACTTTTTCATCCATTATTTTTCAAATTAACTCTTTTTTGTTATGAAATTAATCTAACAACATAAAATTCACAAAAAGAAACAAACGGAAATATAATAACTCATCCGGAGAGAATGGAATTATATCTTGTGGCAGTGTTTCCACGTCTCTAACATCCAATTACTCATGTAATTAATTATTATGTAAACTTTATTTTAGCTGAAAGAAAAAGAATCAACGATAATTAAAGGTCACATAATTAAATCTTTAAATGATAAAGATAATTTAATTATAATTATCTTAAATATAAGAATTAAACAAAAAATTAAGAAAAATCAAAGTATTAATCCTCTTTTCATGTTATATGTATATATCCTTTTAGCGGCAGAAATTTTGGCAAAAGGGATATGTTCCAATTGATGATCAAGTAATATACACATCGGCGAAATTATTATACCATTAAACTTTATAGTTTATTAAATTTGTAATTTATTAATCATGATACTCTAACTTCATTGGATGGTTGAAGGTTTTCCAAATAAATATTACAAGAGATTATCAGTTCAAAAGAGAAGAAATAGAGAGAGAGAGAGAGAGCCTCCTTTAATTTCTTTCAACAATATCCTTCCACCCAACTAACCCAAATCAAAATTAAAAGCATATATTCAACTATTATAATTTATAAATATAAATTTATGATTGAACTATTAATACACACACCCCATTTATTAAAATGATAGATATAGAACCCATTTTAAACAATTATATATAGCAACAAGAAACAAATTAAAGATTATCATCATGTCAGAGGCATAATGATTTGAAGTCGGTTAATTACCTGTAAAGGTTGAGAATCAAATTAGCCATTCATTGAATGAGCCCTCACTTATTAAATATATTTTTAAAGGCAAAATAATACAGATCTTGGAAGATAATTATACACAAATAAAGACACGCATATATAACCAATGTGTTAGGTCTCTGCTAATCATCAAAGATATTGAAAGTAACAGTAATCATTATGATCATGAAAGCCCACATGTCTGCCTCTTAAGACAAAATAAAATTATCTAGACAAAGATATTTCCTTTGATAATATCATAATAAATGTTGTGTATATTGTGGGAACACAAACAGCTTTTCAGGTGGCTCTATTATTATTAATAATAAAATATTTATTGAATCTTTCAGTCCATTGTCATCTTGACTACATGCCAAGACTCACTCTTTTCAAATTGGTTCATGTGGTTTGATTCATATGGGACCTTAACCAGATTAATTAACCAGCTTATTCTCATGTTAAAAATTAGATAGTTAAAATTATATACTTAATAATATACTACTTCTTTTCAATCAAATTAGAAGAAGTGGATTTTAAATTTAAAAAAGTTAATTTAAAATACTAATAACAATAGTTGGTTAAAGAATAAATTAAGAATAAAAATATGCATTTTTTATCAGTCACAAATGAGTGTTTTTTTTTGGAAGATCGCCTAAATATATAAATTTGTAATTGCATAATTTTTTCCTTTAAGATTATGGTTTTAATTTTCTTTATACATTTCACATAATTTTAACAAAACTCAACATATATATATATGGGCCATTTGTTTAACTTATAAAGATAAAAGAAGTTAGTTAATTCGTTAACTTAAGATAAACTTGAAAATTGTTGAGTTCATAATTGTTGCATCAAATTTTAAAAATAAAACATGAATCCAAAACCACAAATTAAGTTATTAACCTCCTTGTTGGTAAGGATGTATCCTTACTCATAAATACAACTGCAAGTTTTTCCCTCTCCCAAAAGTTTGTGTTTTTGCGTTTGGGCGACAGCTCTATTAGTGGGTTTAATTAATTTAGACCCATTCAAAGCTGTTGAGAGAAATTTTTCGGCCCATTGGCGCGCATTCGTGATGTTTTTTCTTTTTTAAGTTCCACTGGAGTGTCATGGAAACACTAAATTGGGCTTCGTGGGCTCAACAATGGGCCGAAACGTATATCTATCCATATCCTGACCAAAAATTCAATATCAATGTCAATATATGTCTTGGAACGACGCAGTTTCCTCACTATTCACTCACATGGACATCTTTGTCCTTGAACTTCCATATAATATCGAAATTACCTAAATGACCGTGTCGACCAGATCTAACACAAGTCATCAACGCATCACTCACAAAACTCGCAACGCAATTCTGGTTTTGAGGGTTTTGCCGGAGATTACCAACTCAATACCTGTTGCCTCTGATTTCTGAGGTAAGCTTGTTCCTTGTTTTCAATTCCTCGTGCTCTGTTTGTTTCCTGAGACAACGATGGAGAAAAGACACTCCTGTATTGCAGTCTTAAATTCTAAGATACTTCTTTTTTTAACCGACCGGTAATTATTGTTCATTTGAGTTAAACTTATTCGATTTATCATCAAATTAGGATTCCGGTTGATCAAATGTGCCGCATTTCAGTTGTTTGTAAAGTTACCAGTGAAATGCGGCATATTTTCTTTCCCTATGCCAGATCAAATGGTTTTGATCAGTCTCTTCCTGACGATGTGGAGTCTAGAGTCTAATCATAGAGTAATTGAATTTATTTTGCGTTGTTTGAATGTGCTGAGGTTATTGCATCCAGAAATGGTTGTCATGTTACCTTGATGTAATTTTAGCCTTAAACAAGTTTTAAATCTTAATTAGGAAGTTCCTTTTTATCAATCTGACTCAGAGTTACTGCGTTTTTCTCATTTTAACGCCGAAAATTTTATGGATTTAGGCACCTGTGTTCCCCGCCCCCCTTCGTCTACTAACTCCAATACAGTTCACCTAAAATTTTAATTTTATGTTAATTTCTCTAAAATTATGGATATTTCATGTTTTTTTATTCCACTATATTAGTGTTTAAAAGTATCTTGTGCTGTATCTCACAATTATTGTATTGTTATTGTTGAAAATTCACTATCATCCTTTTGTCTGTTTGCCTCTGTTAAGTCCATGGCAGGGCCAGGGAGTTCGATGCTGTATTCCTTTCTTCTATTCACTGTCATTCTCTCACTTCAAGAAGTGTATCGGGGGAAATTAGCATCAACAGAATTATTTACCATAGTTGGAGGGTTCATTAGCTCTCTCCTGTTTCTTGTGCTCCTAACTGTGAGTTCTAAAATTACCTTGACTTTTTTCCTTAGCACATGTTTTGCCCTCTGGTTCTTCTTGTGCTATGTTGATAATATTACTTATTTGATGGAAAATTAATGAAACTGGAAAATAATAACGGAAAGGGGAACAAAAAGAAATTATCTCATTAGAGCTAGCTCTCTGGCCCTAGCAGTTAAAGGGTATGACTTAAAGACCATTAGTTGGGACCCTTGAGGAAGCAAGAAAACTATTCTTGTTTCAAAGAAGTTGACAAGTTAGAAACTGTTTCTGAAGATTCTAGCTTGTGGTCCATTTGTTAAAGGAGAACATTAGAATTTGTAGCCATTGGTAACAACCAGTGAATCTTCTTTTGGATAGGATGGTTTCCTCGCTTCTTTTTACATTTTTGCTCATGGTTTTTCAAGAGATTTCTTGATTCAAAGTGCACTGGGATTGGATGGCTCCTCTGAGCCATTTCCCCCCTCTAATGTGTCTTTTTCCTTGTTTCTTTTACTTTGGTATCAAGTGGATACCTGATCCTTCATTCCTGTATTCTTCTGCAGTGTTAAATAAATTCTTCTGCAAAAATGGTTCTAAAATTTTGCACAAACCAATTGCATCACACTCTAGCCGGGGCGGTGCCATTCCATAGCACATTGACCTTCCCTCTTTTTAATATCCATGCTCTTGAAACCATGGGGCAAGGCAAAATTGCTCTAGAATATAATAGAGTATGTGGGTCATTTCTGTTCAACAATGCAGCTTATTCCTCAGCTTCCAAGCAACTTCACAGTGCAGGAAAATATGACTACTATATGATGATAACTTTTGGTTCCAAACACTTCTTAACTGAGGGTCTGAAACTTATTAGTTTTAGAACGGAAAAGGTTATTCATGCTTCCATAAGAGAAAGTGGGAAATATTACCACTTATTTCTTTTCAATTACAACTCTTTTTGAATGAGTGTCTTTAAATTGCATTTATGTTGTCTGTATTTCTTGCAAGGTTATTCTTTGGAAGTCAAAGTGACAGAATAATTTGCATATTATCTTCACCATAGATTCCTGCTATAAATAGTGTTTACCTATCTGCCAAACATTTTTAAAGGATTTAGAAAGAAGTCTGAAGTCCTTTGTCATCAATCATATATAAAATACAAAATCTATAATAGGTCAGACTATTCATAAGTCATAAACAGTGTGGCTCACTCTAGATTTGTGTAATGCATGAGGAAACATGTCTACATACTGCATATTTTGCATCTCTAGGATTAAGTATCCACGAGTCACTTTCTTTTTTTGGGGCGGGGGGTATTATTCTGTTTTCCAGGTGGACTCTAGTAACCCATCACCTATGTCCGACAATAAATATTAATAATTAGTTCCATCCATTTGAGCTGTTTTAGGAATTTTATATTGATGTTCTGGTACATACATTTGTTTTCCTGAGAAACTATGGTAGAACCTTATTTTCTTGACTTTTCTGTACCTGCAGTTCCTTGGAAATTTTCAGGAAACAATCGGTGCTAGAACTGGGTGGGGTGCCGGTGAGTGCATGCTTATTGTGAATGTTGATACCTAGCTTTAACTTCATAATTCTTGTCATTACTCATTAGATGTCGATGTTGAATATGAATGAGTGATTATCAATAAAATCTGTTCACACTGTGTATGTTAAAATGAAAATTTTATAGATTCAATTTAATGGCCTTATTTATCTGTGTCAGATATACCATAAAACTTGTAGGTTTGCATATATTAATATTTCTAAAAGACTATTGCATTCAATGGACCATCTTTCATGTTTCTAAATGGATTTGTTTTCCCATACTCAACTGCTGTCGTACGCTCCCCTGTAGCTGGAACCCAAGTTTATTCATGTGAGCCGTGAGGAATGGCCTTATGGCATGGTGTATTTCCTTTAACTTTATTATCTGTTTATCAGATATGAAAAGTTATTGAGGGCATGTTGAGTGTTTCTATATCCTTGTGTTGATTTTGGAAGGTGCATCAAGCTGAATTTTAAATTTATTTCTAATAGAAGAGAGTGAGTACAAACAAAAACCAAAGTTCATCAAACTGTAATTCCATATCCTAAAATGTCTGCATTCGTCACTCTGGAGTCTAGACATATTGAAGATACAGATGGAATGGAATTTGGAATAATATTAGAAAAGTACTTCCAATGCCAGAAAAATTAATTTTATACACAACTTGTCCAGTGTTTCAGTTTTTCTGCAGAGAACAAACGAAGTAAGAGGATAAACAGAAGTTCATCTAAGTGTAATCCTTCATTGCCAAATTTCTTCTTTCCATTCTCTGTAGTCCAGTCTTATCAAAGATCCAGTTCAAACGAGATCTGAAATAACATTGAAGACTAAAATATGTCAAAGGACGTAATATCAAAGAGCAATCCAATATTATAAAACTGCTGCTTTATCTATTTCTAGGCTTCTCAAACATTTAGAGGGAAAAGATGCTAAATCAACATGAATACTATAAGGTAGTGTTTGGATTGATGGATTTGGATTTGGATTCTTGCATTTCAAATCTCATGTTTAAAATCCATTTATTTAAAATTCTTTGTTTGGGTAATTTACCAAAATTTCAAATGAAGAAGAGAGATGAGTTGAGATTCAAAACAAAAATGAAAAATTAGGAATGGCAAGTTTATATCTGTTTTTTAATCGACAAGAGATGAGAAAAAATATGAATCATAGAGGTATCAATAGTGAAAATGTGAAGAGAACGCAATATTAAAAGTGATTAGAATTTCAAATGGCTAGGTGTAAATGATATTTGAAATGACAAATGAATTATAATGAATAATTGTTTTGGATTTAAATCAAATCTAAATTCATAAATTTTTATGTATCCAAATGAAGTATTTGGTCCAAATCCAAATCCCCATTAATCCAAACACACCATAATATCAATTTTCATGGGACCTGTATATTTGTTCTATACAAAATAAATAGATGACAAGGTTAGTTCACTGAATATTTTTTTTCATAGAGGCTAAAAAGAATGATAATTTTCCAATTAATTTTGTTCATATTTTTATTAACTTGCTACACAGACACACGCAAGTCTTTAATTTTTTTTTTTTCTCTTTGTATGTTGTTTATTTCCATAGCCTCTCGTTGTCCACATCACCTTCAGCAATAATGATCCATTGACATGAAACAAAGAACTTTATTATTTAGGTCCTAGTATGTAGACTTGTAAAATTTGAAGATGGGTCATTTAATTTTATGGCTGTTTTTCTAGTGCTGTTGGGTAATGATTCATGGAGGCCTTGGCTTGTAGCACCTATATTTTGTTTACAACAAACTAAAGCAAGACCATGTATTCTTGTGCAGTCATAATAGCAGAAGTAGTGGCTCTAATTGCTGCAAGCACTGTCCACCGAGTTTGTATTACAACATGGTATGTTTATATTCTTTTAACAAATCACAGATAGGAATTCATTTTGACAAAAAATTTTTTAAAAAATGATATGATATACTCCCTCTAAACCACAATATAAGATATCTTTTAAAAGCCTTGCCTGGTTCAAAATATAGAGTATTGGATAACTTTTATAATTGTTTTTTCAACTATATCTCTACTTCATTTATTACTCTTTTTGGAAAAATAATGCATTGGAATTTTAATTATCATGATCAAGGCACTTACATAGGGTATTTAATGAGGGTATAATTTGAAAGGTGCAAATTTGTTTAAAAAAATTAAGGTCTCAACTAACATTCTTTGAAAATTGTGAATTAGTTACCAATGCCCTGTATTTGATCTGGAGGGAGTAGGAGGGAGAGTAAAGGATGTTGTAGAGTTCTGTGAGCAACCCTCCTCTCTCTTCCATTCCAAAAATCCCCAACCCAGCGCAGGGTAAACAAATATAAAGAACTGTTCCTACATAATGCTTACTGTTGTGAGAATTATTAACTGCATAAAACAGAAAAGTTCCTCAGATTAATCAAATTTGAATAGATCGGCTATATATCTGACATCTTAGAGGTAGTTTCTGGGACTTGATTACCCTCTTAAATTTGTTTATCATAGGCCATGACATTCTTCAACCCTCAAATATAGAGGAAGAAATAAAAAGAATTGTAGAGTCTGTTCTATACACTGTCATTTCCTTTGCACCTTCATCAAATAAACTTGATAAGTTGTCGTTAACGGAGCTTGTTCCCTGTTTGCCAGAATCTTCATTTTAAGCATTAATCTATACATTATCAATTTTTTTCCCCATATTCTAACTAATTTGTCATACAAATTCCACTTGCATGTATAATTATGAATGGCACAACAAACCAATATTATGAGTTGCTATCTAAAAAGTTTATACGGATGAATCATTTTTTTAAATAGAGAATAGGGTTTTGAAGATTCTAACGTACCTCTCAATTTTCATTCTTAAAGAACACCCAAGTTGTTTATTTTGGTCTCTATATTCTTAGGCATAACACCTTTCAACCTTATAAAGGGAAAGAAAACCTCCAATATGTGGAAAGCCAGAATTGACGAGATAGAACAAACCTATATCAAGAGACTATATGTAAACTTTGAATATTGTTTATTTTATTAACTCAGAACACTGTTATCATGTTAATATTTGTCTCTAAATGGCTAAGGAAAATATATAATTGTATCAGCGAATATGTTAAAAAAAATTGTATTATGTGTACTTCCTTCCCACTTTGAATTTGTGCAAGTATAAATGTCATATTGTAAACACAAGCACACTTAACATTCTATGTGGTGGTTGTTTTTCTACCTTGATTCAAATTTATTTCTCCATAGGAACTCATGCATGCATATATGTACACTATCAATTGTACCCAAACAATTCTATAACAAAATTTAGTCTCAAATAAATGAAATTAAAACTAGATCAAAAAGTGTATAAAACATGAACAAAAATATCAAATAATTGATTTACATACTTTGTTCTATCTCATCGATTCTTGCTAACTATCCATGGGTTTCTCTCCCCTTGCAAAGGTGAAAGAGATCATGTACAATAATATATAGACCAAGGTAGATAACCTAGGAGTCTTGAAGAGATATTTAACGGCACTCTTGTTTAAAAATGACGATTAAGCACTGTGTTGGAATCCTGAAAAACGAATTTCTTATTTTTAAGTTCAGTCTCCATTGAAACCTTCTATGTAGCAATTCCTTGTGACAACATGTGCTATTCATAATCATATAAGCAAGTGGACTTTGTATGATGAATTCTTTGGGATGCGGGAAGAAATAGATCTTGTAGAAATTGATGCCATGAATGAATGTCCTATCACTAAGGGAGCAAGCTCTAATAATGACTACTTATTGGGCCTAGTGGAAATGGTAGTGCATGGAGACCGTATTGAAAGTTTGATGTGGATACTACGTAACAACTAGTTTAACTAATTTGACATGTTATGGTAGTAGACCTTAATTTATTAATTAAGTTATAATTATACTCTTTTTAGTGTGTTTATTTTCAAACAAGCCATTGCAAGAACCTTGTAATATGATTGCTTTTGGTCTTATGTATAATATTTCAAAAAATTATATCTAAGTTCTTCCTTTTGATTCAATAAATTCACTAAAAAGAAAGAAATTAAAATACAATCAAATGATTTTTTTCCTTCAAATTTTACCAAGTAGTTTTTTATTTTTTTGGTTTTCTTATCTTTAAAGCTATTTCCAAATTAATATCACCAAACATATTTTTTAAATTTTGTTTTAGCAAATAGTTTTGGAAAATTGTTTTACAAAATAGTTTTTAGAAAACAAGAGCACAATCATATAAGCTCGTGGATTGTTAACCCTTGACTGTATCCCTTGTAGATTTACTGTGCAGAAGAAAGCAGTGTGTTTACTGGTTCATGATTGTTATTGGTAACATGAATGGAAGCTTCCTGAAACTAAACTTTCATATATTTTTGCAAATAGTGTGTTATTGGGATAATTTAACGATCGTATATTAAAAGGAAAAGAAGCTTTGTGGAGAACAAGAATCGATAACATCAGTAGAAGTAGTGTAACTTCTTAAGATGAATTCATGTTAGAATAGTTTGTTCATCTTTACCCTGATATAGTTTAGGACCTTGTGCATGCACATTTTGTATGTTATGTATATGAAGATGTATGAATTTAACAAAACAATTTTCGTTTACTTAAAGTAAACCAAAGCAAGATGAGAGCCAATTGCGAATCTCCTGTTATCTAGAAACGAAAAAGATGTTCTTATTGCTACAAATATTGTATGGCAAACCTTGTGTTGATTACTTTTTAACTTTCTGTAACTATAAATGCAGTTTCCTGTTCTCAGTTGTTTTGCTGTACGAGGTTAACAAGATCTCGGGGGTAGCTCTCTCGAAAAGCGAATCAAAAGTGAGAAAACACTGAGACGGCAGAATCTTACCCATGATCTGGGTTATGGAGATTTAATCATGATTTTGACTGAGCATTCTTAAATTGTAAACTTGTTGCAGCATGCGTCTCTCAAAATCACTGCACTATAGTTTGTAGTTTTCTGCAGAGCTTATGATTTGGCATAACGAAAGAGTGGTAATTTTTGTTCTAGATTTGATTACCAGGAGGAATACAGCTAAATCTATTACTATGGATTTGATAGATGGTGAGCCAACAATATAATGAGTTATCAAGTTCAAATGTTTTTAGCAAGTGGTCAATTCAGTTATTAGTGCACCCCAAATTTCGTATTTGAGGATCGAGGTCTCAACCATAAGTAATGAGGAACCCTAGTTTTACTCTAGATTGTTGTATAGCGGGTTTCCTAGTTTTTTTTTATAAAATTTTTAATAACCCAAAACAAGTTGTTTTATATTTGTCTTTTGATTGGTTTTTCTTGATGTTATCTACATTTGGTGATTTTTTTTTTTATACAATCAAATTAGGCACGCACAGCACATAAACATGTTAATGCGGGGTTTTCACTCAATCACTTTCAAGTGAGGAAGGTAGTGGTGTTAATGGAAATTTTACCATTGACATATTTGAAGATTTATTAGTGGCTTGGGTTAATCAACGGGGCTCATACTAACTTGGTTGAACAATTAATTTGACATACTTGATTATTTTGGTGATTTGTAATAGATAATAAATACGAAAAATGATAATAAAGTTTCTTTAAATTACATAAAGGACAAATTAGGTTTTTAAAATATCATAATATTAATAAAGTTTTTAAGAATTTATTTGTTAATAATTTTTTTATGAAAAAATTATCTTACCTTTATTGATTAATTGTGATTTTTTATTTAATTTTTATATTTTTTTAAATAAAAGTTGTGAATGAAATTTGTTATTTTAAAAATTTATTTTTTAATAATTTTTACTTGATAAATTGTGATTTTTTATTTAATATTTACGATTTATAGAACAAAAATTTTTATTCATTAAACAAAATTGTGATTGAGATTTATTTTTTAATAATAAAAATTATACTTAATAAATTATAATTTTTTATACAACTTTTGTGATTTATAGAATAAAAGTTATAATTGAATCTTGTTATTTTAAGTAAGAGCAAAATAGTTTTTTTTTCTAAAAGTTATTAACAAAGAGGTCCCCTAAGGGCTTCATTAATATTATGACATTTAGAGAAATTAAATTATCATTTATATAATTTAAAAAAATTTTATTTTCATTTTTTCATAAAGTATTTTAAGCTGGGCATGTATGAGATTGTGTTAATTTGGCTTATACAAAACTAATGAATAAATGTTATGACATATTTGGTTATGTATTATGACATATGGCAAAATATTTTTTTTTCCACATGTATTATTTTAAAAATATCATTTTAATTGAGACTAGTTTGACCATAGTTAAGTACATCAGTGTTCCAACCGTTTTAATGCTTAACATTGCTTGTGAATGTCAAATGAAATTTGAGATTTTTTTTTTTTAAAAAAAAAGGTATTTGAATTTTGGATCTTTACTCAATTCAAAGGAAAAATAATATTGAATCTTCGTCCACAATTTTCATAACCTAACTTGGTTTCCGTGGCTATAATTTGAGATATTGCTCAAAATTAAATGACTGCAGACACTATTTTGTGTTATAACGATTACATAAGAAGATTGCCTCAATCAAATGAGGTACGATCGTCTTTATCCTTATGGATAGCTCCTTTATTCATAAACATCTACTATGTTACAGAATTACAACTTGCTCACATAGAATTTTTATGATGCACGCAAAAAAAAAAAAAAACAAAAAGAAAAGAAAAATAATGGTTTTCATCTTAGCTACTCTCTCCGGACAATATTATAAAATACTTTTTAAAAAGTATCATGTTTAAAAATATAAAGTACTTTAAATTTTTTAAAATGTAATTAATATCGCTTTACTAAAAATGCTCTTAATTAGGAGTGTAATTAAAAAGTTTTTAAATTGAGATAACCTATTAAATAAAAGTAAATACGAAAATAATATATAATTTTAAATGTTATTACCTAACTTATTAAAAGTGCAAATTAATCAAAAATACTTTATAATACTTAATGGAAGAAGTAGTATACGTAAACTTTTTATAGTGGTTTCTCATTTTCAATCATATCATAGTATTTAAATCTCATTATGATTTAGGCATTTGTCATCTTAAACAACTTTACTTGGTCGGATTAATCAATTAACAAAGATGTATGATTTGTGTACTCATGTATGCTATTCAGCTCAGCTTGAGGACTTGACCAGTGAGGAGAGATTGGGTTTGGAGAGTCAAATAAATTTGAGAAAGAAAAAGTTATCACTTTTTTTAGACTAAAGCATTGCCTTTCTTTCACAAGAAAGGAAAAATTGACCATACCTTTTGTTGGCACGAATTCAATCAACATTCCCAATGACATTAGAGAACATGAATTTTTATTGCTTTTGCAAAAATATATTCATGACACATAATGCAGCTGTCGAATGATGCTTCTGTGAAGAGAAAAGGTGAGCTCTATAATTCTAGTTCTATTTTATTGTTTTTTTTTTTTTGTAATACAATTATTGGTCCATGTATTTTTAATGTGTTTTGGTATTAATCCTGATACTTTATGCATAAATCCAAATCCTTTAAGGTTCGTCAATAATGCAATTTTAGTCTTTTTGTCACTAATGGGGTTAAATTTGTTAATATATATATATATATATATATATATATATACTCTGTTAATTCTATTATTGAGTTGATATAAATTGGACAATGTATGAGCAAAATGACCATTAACTTTTTTGTTTGTTTGCCCTAACTATCATGTCTCTTTTTTTTTATAAAGCTTCACCCATCGATTGAAGAATTATGATTTAATGTTTTACTCTTTTTTTTTTTGTGCATTCTACTCATTGTATATATAACATATCATAATTTTAACAAGTTAACATATAAAAAGTATCAAAGTTCATATACATGTTAACTACCATTAAATTCTTATGATCATATTTAAAAATATAAAGATCAACATTGTAGATAAATAAAATTTAAGGGACTTGAAATAATAAAAAAATAATATAAGAACTAATGTCAAAAGTATAAGATCAAAAGTTATAATTTTTTTTTTTTAAATGCATGATTGATAGTAAAGGATTTAATGTATACCTTTCTCAGCCTTTTGGCTAAGATTAAGAAAAGGATAATTTGAAATTTCAGGAAAAGAATGAATTTGAACGAGTGGGGAGAGAGGAGTCAAGTTTATTAGAAAAGATATGTTGATTTTTTTGACCAAAAAGAAAAGAGAGATAGTGATTAGATGGTCAAATTTATCATCTTCTTGAATCATTGGAGCAAGCAAAGAAAATTGATAGGAAAAAAGGGAGAAATTCAGGATTCCTGCAATATATAAAAAACAAACAAGATAAAGAGGATCAGAGACGTAAAGATGATTCGTTCACTTCCTAAAGCACCAAATTCTTAAGCTTACGTTGTGAGCTCAGCAAAATAATAAGCTCCGTCAATGTCATTTCCATCAATTATTGATCTTTAAACATAAATAGTTTCCATTTCTATTGATTAATTGTCACTTACCAGTCTTAAATTTTGTCAAGACTAAATAATTGTTGGTAGTAGTGGACAAGTGTAGTATGAGTCATGTCTAAGGACACTATTTTTTAAAGCTATTTTATTACTCCGAGTTGATCATGAGACAGCTTTTTAAAATTAAACAAACTTATCCTACAAAATGAACAAGGACATAGAATAATGTAAACCAGCAGAATATATTCAAGCAACACAACAACACATAAGAAGGGTAAAGAAGGTACTCGAAAACTTAAGAATCAGGCACTGAATACACTGTACATCCTGGAATTCACAGAGACGGTCCCCAAATGAACATTGGGTGGCCATTACTCTGATTAAATCACCGATTTTAGAAAATCAAACCAGATAAAGCCACATTAATCTAGTTTAATTAGTCATTTTTTGAACGTTGAGGCAATTACAAAATTAACTAGTGTTTAAGGCTGTGAAACTAACTGCCTAAATGCTAATTGAAAATCCCCTCATTTCTGTAACTCCATGGATTTAAATTTTAAACATAGTAAAAATAGGGATTTTTCAAAAAGCACATTTATACAAAATTAATGTAATAATTTTGCAAAAAGTGCCTACTGCCACTTTAACTCACATGCATGGTAGCCAAATTTGTTGTTTTCAATTGTGATTATCTTATGTTGGTTTGTTACGTTGTTGCATATGCGAGCCCACATCTCCTCTAATCCTATTTACTAACCTATTTTAACTCTTTAATGTATATACCTTTGAAGCTCTCTTTGAGTAAGTAATGTGAGACTTTTCTTTTTGATACACCCACACAAAACTTCAATGCACAGCAATAATTTCTATTAATTGGTGTAACATGCAATATAATAGCACAACAAAAGTTGGACCAATTAGTAAAGATGCAACCTACATTCTATGAGGAATGATCTATTTAGTGGAGTGAAGAAACTTATTTATTGTGTTTGCATGCATTAAAGCTTCCATTTATTCTATTTGGATGGAAAGGACTGCTTGTGTATATTTTTGAGAGGATGAGAGATAAAACTAAAAACTTTAAATTAATGATAATTAAGTTCTTGATACAATTTCCTAGAAAACCATGAGTTGTTGTGAATATTAATTTAAATAAGTGTAAATTCAAAAGTTTCAATTATAGTTAACATATTTAAGTTTCAAATGTAATTACCAAATTATATACTATTTAAATTGATGTTTGCAACTCACTTTTTCTAAAAAAAATTGTCAAGAACCTAAATATCATTAATTTAATATTTTGAGATCTAATTATCATTCTTCCTATATTTTTAAAAGTGTTAAAGAAGGATTATTTTGCTTCATTTGCTAAGACTCAGCAAATTCTTAAAATCAGATTGCAATCATGTTGTTTGCCACATAGGATAAGACCCAGTGAAGACCAATTTATAAAGTCCTTGATTATTTTGACTTGGATGTTGTTAGGTTGGTCTTGTTGTCTTGTTAGGTATTTGTAGTGCTAGTCTTGAAGAGGATTGGTTTGGTCTCTTTTGAATGCCTTGATTATCTACAAGTGTTCTCTTCTTGTAAATGTCTTTATTCACATATGGCCATGTATAGGAGATGTCCAATGTTGTATATATGGTTTTGTTAGGTTGATCATATGTTTTTACAATTATTTTAAAAAAACTTT